GTCTCTTTTTAATTGGGGCGAGAATTTAGCGGATATTCTGGACAGTGGCACTGAGAAATATCATGCTTGGTTTTTGCTCCGCGCGTATCAAGGTGGACATATTTTAAACATTTAGTTACAAAAGAAAAATGGGCGATCTTTTTCTTGGCCATAAATCCCCGATCTTCATTTTGGTCGGTGCTGGGCTGCAAAGCGGAGCCGAGAAAGATAAGAACTGAGGGTCCGCAGGTAGATGACTGGAGACGCAGGACTCTCTCCTTGGGGTCTGATTGACATTTGGGGCTGGGGGAAGACTAGGCCAGGTAGGCGACTCTGCAGCCTGTGCTCCCCAGGCCGCGGCATCCGGGTATTTCTGAGTTCTGTCCTCCGGGCAACCCGAGGAAGCTTCGGTGCTTGGAGCTAGGGCCTACCTGTGCCCTCAGTCAGCCAGCCACCTGCCAGACAGATCCCAGGTATTAAAAAAAAAAAAAAAAAAAAGGCATCTGCTTTAAAGGGTGTTGAAGTTTCTTCCGGGCTCTGTGCACCAGAAGCTAAACGTTAGACCTACTGGATTAAATTAAAAAAAAAAAAAAGACCTCCCCTTCGGCGCGGACACGCGCTCCCACTCGCCCCTGCTCCCTCTCCCGCCCTGCGCCACCACATTCCCATTCAGCAGCTACGATCTGCGCAGAGGAGCTGCGCAGTCGCCAGGCTTGAATTAAGCGCCATCGGGCTCGGTAGTAGCCCTGCTGCTCCCTGATTGGCAGCTCCCTGGCCCGGCGCCAGCCTATTGGGAGGCCTGTTTACGCGGAATGAGTGGCACGAGCTCCCGGCCGCGGAGGGACGCGCGGCCAATCAGCGCGCTGGCTGCTCGGGTCTGAGTGGCACGAGCTTATTAGTATGCAGGGCCTGTGGCTCGCCGCGCCGGGCTGCAGGTTTGAGAGCCGCTCTGGATGGGCTCGCTAGAGTCGTTGTTGTGGAAGCGGTGCATTTACAGTGCAACAGTCAGCACATTGAAAATACCAATAGGAATACAAAACAAAGTCACATTTACTGGTTTAATTGTATTGCATTCAATTGTATCCAGGAAACAGCCTCCAGTAAGTAACTGAAATTGCTTTCATTTTTTGTTTTTGTATTTTTATTATTATTTTATTTTTATTTTGGCTTTGGGGATTTACATTTTTTAGCAAGAGAAAATCAGGATTGTGATGTTAAGAAATATATATCTTCCCTTTTTAAAAAATCCGTTATAATGTCGAGCAGGTTTTTTTAAAGATGGACAATATATAAGAGCGATTTTTTTTCCTCTGAAAAATCTTATCGATCGGTTTAAAATCCCCCCCCCCCCGTAATGCGTCCTTGCTTTGCTCTGAGCGCTTGTTGTCTCGATCGACACCCAGCATTAAAAATAAATAATCGAGACAGGACAGGGACCGTCAGGCTGCGTCCCGCGCGAACCGCGCGGGCGGCTGCGGGCTCACAGTCGGCGAGGTCCCGGACGCAGCCGACGCGTACCGGCTCCGGTGGTACCTCGAACGAACCCCGATTGTTTGCTACCCCCGCCCTGTTCCCCTCCCTGAAGCAGTCCGGGTCGGCCCCGCCGGGTCGCTCCGCGGCGCAGGGAATCGGCCGGCTACTGGTGGCCCAGGCGTTCCCAGCCGCTGACCAGAGGGGCTTTACGGCTGGGTGAGGGGCGAGGATGGATAAATGGCGAGGTTTTCGGGTTTCGATTTCCAGAGCCTAATTCACTCCAGAATATTTTTTCGGCGTTGGGGTGTGGGTGATGATGGAGGAAGGAGCTGAGCGAGGCCAGCGCGGCGGGGCGTTTTCGCCGCGCGCTTTCCGGGCAGCGCGCAGGGCCCGGGCCGCAAGGAGGGGTCTGCCGGCGGGCGCGCCCTGGGGCGCGGGGGTGCGGCGCGGGCCCAGCCCGGGATCTTCTCTCGGGAAGGGGGGGCGGGGGCGGGGAGGCCTTTTCGCAGAGAGCGGGTTCTTTGGCGGCCCCGGAGCAACCGGCCTCCGGTGTGCCCCGGCCCCAGCTCAGCCTGCAGGCCCCACGGCGCCCGAGAGCCCGGAGATGGCGCCAGTGGAGCCGGACGGAAAGAGACCCTCGTCCTCGGCGGGAGGCCGAATCGAGGGCGGGTTTTGAGATGCATAAGTTAAAATCAAAGCAGACCTAAGGGATTCCCACATCCTGGAGTGCGCGAGCCACGCGAAGAAGGAACGGCCCGCTCCGGGGACCGCACCCCGCCACCCCGGGGAAGAGCCCGGGTTCTGAGATTCGGTTCTTTACAAAATGCCCTTGTGAGCGATTCTCTGGCTGGCGCGGGCCCCCTGTCCGCCGCTGCTCGCGATCCCTTTCCTCCCTTAGATCGGCTCTACCCGGCGTTCCGTCGCTGTCCTTTGCGGCGGCCTCGTGGTGGGGGGGGGGGCGCTCGGAGCCCTGGGACCCGCGGGTGGCAGCGCCGGGACTGCCGGGCTCCGCGCCCATGCCTCAGAGCCCGCGCGTCCCCGCCCCGCTCCCTCTCCTGCTCGGGTTCCGCAGGCCTCCGAGCCGCGTGCTGGCGCACTGAGAGGCGCAGTGCGGCCTCTCCCTGGGAGCGAAGAACACAAAGAAAAGACCCCTCCAACCGAGTAAGAATCGCAGCGGCACAGATGGGCCACAATAATACACCCCCAGTTTGCGTAACACCCAGGCACGCTGGCGAGGAAGGCTCAGTGCAGCCTGCGACCCGCCCGCGGGAGATGGAAGTTAAAATTGCAGTTGGCAGCCGAGCCCGCGTCCCAAGAATCGGAGCAGCTCGCGCTTTCTGGACAATTTTTGAATTTCTTATGGAGACAGGGAACCTCACAAAACTAAAGCGTGGAGCACCCGACCCCCACGCGCGCAGCCAGCCCCCGGTCCTCGGCGTCTTTGAAGCCGCAGGCTCCAGACCGCCCTCCCCTCCTCCTTTCCCTTTGTCCCGCCCCGTGCACCTCGGCTCCCGCCTGGCTGCGGCCCCAGCGGCCTGGCGCTCGCAGTGCAGGCCCAGGCGGCGGCGAGCCGAGTTATTTGTTAGACCCGGGGAGGGAGCAGGCGATCCCCGAGGGGAGCGAGCCCCAAACCCCTTTGTGTGAAGTTGAGAGACAAAGAGAAAGCTGTGTAGGGCTGGGCTCCTTTATTTACAATGCAAAAGCTCTCCGAATAAATATGAAAAAAGCTTATCAGCTGAGCAAATATGTATTCACTTAATACATTGTTTTTGGTTATAGATTAAATCAAACACAAAATAGTCTGTTAATCAGACGCTGTAGAACTTGTAGCATAAAATACCGCAATTTAAAATGGTATCCACGAAACGGGAAACATCTTAATCGCTTTGTCCTCACCGTCGGCGGCAAAAAAAAAAAAAAAAAAGTCAAGATTTTCTGCAAAGTTCACAATTAAGAGTATTACGCCGATCCACCTCCCTTTTGTTGGAGATGATGTGAAACAAAAACAACGCAGATTTAGGAAGTCTGCAAAGTTCAGGAGGCCCACGCGGGCACGCGGTCGTCAGGTTTGTGTGGCTTGCTCCGTGCTCAGCGTCTGAGATTGCCCAGTTTAGACTCGGAGTGGACTCCCCGCTTTGGGAGGGGGTCCAGAGGAGGGAGGTGGGGGCGTTTTTATGAGTCCCTACCGGGAGGTGGAGGTGAAGGACGGAAGTCAGGGGTCTGCTGGCACCTGGGCGAGGGCGAAGGTTGCGCTGAGACGGGCCGAGCCTCCAAGGGTCGAGCAGACCCCTTGACTCCGGGCTGCCTGACTGCGTGGAGACCGGCGCCGGCTCGGCGACCCCGGGCGGGCACTGAAGGGAGCAACCCCAGGGCAGATTTGGGTGCTTGGGTGAGAGAAAACAATTCCTGACGCTCAGAGCGTCCCCCACCGCCGCCTAAAGCCCCTGACCCGCAGTGCACGGTCCCGGGCGAATTTGACTGGGGGTGGGGTGATTGTTCCCGCCTCGCTAGGCAGCTCCGGGGGGACAGCAGGCCGGGCATTGCGGCGCAGCGGCCCCGGTGACGCCAGCGGCGGACGCAAACGCCAGGGCCTCGAGGGAGCTAGCCCAGGGTCCTTCCTGGCCCGGTGCTGCAGGCTGGGGGCCTAGACCCGTTGGAGCTGGGGGGACAGTGTGCTCAAAAGACTGGACCAAAAACGCATGGGGGGATGGGAGAGGAGGGAAGCGGAAGGTTATAAAAAAAAAACACAACACAACTCTTGAGTTACAATCAATAAAATTACTCGCTTAATTAGCATGGTTATTCGGTTAAGCGGAATGCAGTAAAAGCTGGGCCTCGCAACGAGGGGAGAAGGAAAAAAAGAGCGTGGACCCCAGTCCTGTTCCACCAAGACACCTCTGGGCAGCGGGGGAGGGGAGAGGGTGTGCGTGCGAGTGAGTATTTGTGTGTGTGTGCGCGCGTGATGGCTTCGCACATTTGGGATTTTATCGCCCCGCGGAGCCAGCAGCCTTTTGCCACGGCGTCCACGCCGCAGGGACCCGCGGGGACACGAAGGGGAAGCGGCGAGCGGTGCGCTGGGTTCCCCCAGGCTGCTCCGGGTCGAGCGCGGTCGGGACAGCGTGTATGCGCGCGGGGGCCAGGGTGATGGGTCTCCCGGCTCGCGCGCGTGCAGCGGAGAGACGCGCCGAGCGCTCCGGCTCCGCCGTGGGGCCTGGCCCTGGCTCGAGCCGCCGGGGGGGGGGGGGGGGGGGGTCGGGCAGGGCGGGGACCCCCGGGGGAGCCGAGCACCCGAGTCACAGAGTCTCTTCTGCTTGCCTCTGCAGACTATGGACCCGCACGGCGGCCGCCGGGTCGGCGCGCGGCCGCCTGCCGAGGAGCCCAGTCCGCCGGCGTGCTGACCGGCCCCGCCGCCGCCGCTGGTGACCCGGACGCCGCCGCCTCCGCGCCGCCCGCGCGTCGCCCGCGCGTCGAGCCACCCCCGGGCCCCGGCCGCGCTGCTCCCGGGAGGTGGCGGCGGGCCGGGGCCGGGGCCGGGGCCAGGGCCCGGCATGGATGGCCGCGACTTCGCGCCGCCGCCGCATCTGCTGTCGGAGCGCGGGAGCCTGGGCCACCGCAGCGCCGCGGCCGCCGCTCGCCTGGCCCCGGCCGGGCCCGCCGCGCAGCCCGGGGCGCACTTCCAGCCCGGAAAGTACTTCCCGTCGCCGCTGCCCATGGCTTCGCACACAGGTCAGTGCCTGCCGGGCGGGCGCGGGAGAGGAGGCCCCGTGGGGGGTGGTCGGGGGTCGAATGGGCGCACGCCCCTCCCCTCCTCCAAGCATTTGCGAAGAAGCCTTTGGTTTCATTTCCCTGCTCTGGCCTGGAGGCGGCCCGGCGCGGAGCGCTCCCCCCCGCCCCCCCCCCCCCCCCCCCACGCGGCTCTGGAGACGGAGCATCGCGGTTTAGAGTGGCCTTCCCCGGGGGTCCCCCGGGGTCTCCGAGGGGCAGCCCCGAAGCCGGCTAAAAATGAAGCCTTTACCCTCCTGCCACACTCCCCCACCCCTTTCTGCAGAACTGAATTCCGCGGAAACCACATTTCTGCATTCTGCATTCACATCCTTAAGACATTCCGGGGCTGGGACAACGAGGCACTTTCTGCGGGGAACAAAACGGCTGTTGTGACTTTGTGGTGGGGGGGCGCGGGGCGCGCTGCGGCCTCCCGGATTAGGGCGGTGTGCTCCGGGTAAGCGTTAATAGGGACTGCTGGTGTCAGACGAGCAAATCCTGTTTCTATATAAAGCCTTGAAGTGTCAGGGCGAGAATGGGTTTGCAGGGGATGCTTTTGCTTTAACAAGTGCCTCTGGTATCCTGCTAAAGCCGGACGCGGCGCGGCCAGTGCGGGGCCCCGGGGAGCGCAGCGCCGGCGGCTCGGCTGGGGGAGGCGCGGCCGCCGCGGGATTTCGGTGCAGGCGAGTTGCAGAGTCAATTTGCTCTAAGAGGAGAGAGCGGGCCGCCCCGCGCTCGCGTCCTCTCGGAATCCCTCCCCAAGAGGGTGGGTCCGTGGCAGAGCTGACCCCGGCCTCCGGAACAGTCCTCCTCTGGGGTGGCGTTGATTTTACGGTTGAGTTAGGACGGGGGAATAGGCTGGGGGCAGAGTGGAATGAGCAGCCACCTCTCCGAGCTCCTGGAGGTCACTGGCCAGCCCCACCGGCTTGCAGGGCAGGCACGGGGACCCCATGGTCGCCCTGGAAGGTTGGCTTGCCTTTGGTTACAGTTTGTTTTAAACATCAGAAATGTTTGCCTCTTTTTGTTGTTGTTAATTTGGCAGTAACAGTTATTATTGCTAGCTTGATGAACTGTGAATACTAATAAAATTATATCTGCTTTAATGGGATTACAATTAGTGTGTGGATTAAAACGGAGAGCAGAGTCAGGCTAGAAGGGAAAATGTCAGGAGGAAGGGCAGTCAGAACGCAAAACGTGAATTTCCTAAAAAGAAAAACCAGGCGACATCGCGTAATTACTAGGGGCCTTTTAGCATCGACAGCGTGAGGACATTCAGAAAGTTAGCCGGGCGCGGAGGGCAGGCCCCGCGGGCCCCGGAACCAGCCGCGGCCGCCGCCAGGTCCTGTGCCAGCGCCAGCGAGCCTGCCTTCCCCGAGGAGGCTGCCCTTTCTCCTCGTTCTTGCTCTTCCTCCTGTCCCTCCCTTTCCTTTTCCTCCTCTAGACCTGAGACTCGAAGGAGGAAAAGGACCCGCCCGGGCAGTGGGCGGCTGAGAGGTCTCTGTCCTGGCCCTCCGCACAGGGGCGTCTCTCTGCCTCTGAGGCGCTGCCCACCCAGCTCGGCCCACGCTCGGGGGCCGCGGGGACAGTGCCACAGCCGCCCTACCAGCCCCTTCTGCAGGCGGCCGGCGGGAAGGCTGCGCCTGCGGGTTGGGGGATGGGGAGGGAGCGGCTGCATGCCCGCCCCCAGGCCCTGCCCTCCAGCCCAGCCTGGCAGGTACCAGCGCCCCGGAAACCAGGGTCTGAAAGTCCCTTGACCCACAGGCGTTCCCTGGAGGGCACCGGCTGGCTGAGGCCATGCCCTGGCGAGGCGCGGCCAGGCCGGACCCCCCCCCCCCATTCAGCCGTCCCCACAGTCCGGCCTGGTCCTGGTCAGCCGCCATTTCCCCCTTGGGCCCCTGTCCCCACGTGCAGACCCCGCTGAGTCAGGTGGCAGCGGGGTCCGGTGGCCCAGACCATTGTCTCGCTCACTGCAAGTTTGACCACGTGGTTCTTGGATCGTGGGCAGTGGAAGGTTTGGAGAAATTGGGTGGGTGCTGGCCCTGTCTGCGTCCTTGGCCCAGGCCCTACTGCCGTCCCCACACGCAGGGGGCTCTAGAGGGCGCTGGCGGTCCCCAGGGCACCCTCCGAGGGGGGCTGGAGGGCCACGTGTCCCCTGCTCCCGGAGGCCGCTTCCACCCCCTGGGGGACCTGAGAGACCTATTGTGCTTGGAGACGGTCAGCCCGTTTGTGAGGGGAAGGCTGGCCAAGCGGGGTCCAGCGAGAACCATCTGCCACCGAGAAAGACTCTCGGAATTAGTGAAAGCCAGAGTATTGCATTGGTTTCTAAAACGTAGCCCCATCATTAAAAAAAAAGAGAGAAAAAGAATTATGTCCCCAACCCCCATCACTTTGCTTCGCTCTGTATCTATATATGATCTAGCTGAGAAAGAAAAAAAGTATAATTAAGTTAAAAATTGTTTTTACATTTCGTGTGCGGGTTTGCAAATGGCCAGTTTGGGGGGCTCTCTTCCCCTTCCTGCAGACAGCTTCCCCCGCGGGGGTGGGGGGGCGGGCTGGGCCGCGCGGCCCAGCCCCCTCCCTGCCGGCTGCTCCCCGCAGGGAGAGTTGCTCAGAGCTTCCTCCCAGTTGCCTGGCTCCCGAGACAGAGCGTGTGGCTCGTGAGGACTCCTTGCCGCTGGCACGGCCTCCGGGGCTCGGCCAAGGGTCTCTGTCCCTCCCCGCCACCCATCTCCCCTCCCGCGTCCCCACCCAGTGCCTTCCACAGCGTCAGCTGGAGGGCCCCCGATGGGGCGTTGGGCCCCAGGGCCGCTGCGGGGCGGCTTCTGTTGTTTCTCTAAAACTGAAAGTGCCCAGAGCTTCATCATTGGGCTGTAGGGTTTATGGTAAAGTGCTGTTCCAGTAACCTTGTCACCGAAAGGTGCAATTAAAATGTTTGGAGTCATTATTTTTAGTGCAGTGTTAGATTTTGTCTCTAATACAGATGGTCCGGAGGCAAAGCTGTGAAATCTAAGGGGAAAAAAAGGAAAATCAACAGCGCACCAGCCCGAGGTTTGCCATCCGCCGCGCTGCCTGGGGCAACGGGGGGCGTGCGCCCCTCCCGCGGCGCACGCTGGGTGCGGGCAGCCCGGCCGCGAGGAGCCCAGAGGCCCCTCTCCCGGGGCCCCTTCCCAGCCCCATCCGCCTCTCTGTGCCCCCGAGGGGTGAGCCTTCGGGAGCTGCGGGTCTCCCCCGGAACGCACCGGGGAGGCGGAGGGGCCGCTCCCGCCGGTGTCGGTAGTCTGGCTGTGGGTGGCGGTCTCCTGGCCGCCCCTTCTCCTGTCTCCTTTGGGGTGTAAATGACCCGGCCCTCGGCCAGGCGCCCTGGGCCAGGGGTGTTGCAGTAAGCAGGGCGGCTGGTCCCTTCTGGCGGGTGACTGCGGACTTCTTCCTGCTCCCTATGCTTCCGACCCGCCAATCTCAGGAAGAAAAACTCAGTAGAGGAAAAAAGATAATTTCCTAGTGTGAAAAGACCCCATCAAAGGTTTTCCCCTCCCTCCCGTGTGATATTTTTTTGTAAAGGAAAAAAAAATACATTTTCATAAATACCTCATTAACTCAATGGCTCGATGGAGTGTTTCTGCAACAGTTACCAACATTAAGTAGGTGTGAAAAGAGTTACTTTCCGAAGCCTCTACCCATCCTGCTCTGTAAGTGACAGAAGCAGACTTCAGAGCCGCTGCCAGCGCCCAGCCCGGGAACCCAGCGCCGCTCCGGGGCCTGCCAGGCTGCAGCCCACTTGCCTGCCCCGCCAAAGGCGCTTGGGGAACGTGGGTTTTTTCTCTGTGGGCCGTAGGCTGCCCCCGTGTCTGATGATGCCTGGGAGGAGGGTTTTCCTATAGGAATATCCAGGTCACGTGAGAAATAAGGCACATTAGCCAGCGAGGCAGGGAGTGGTCCTGTGCCGATAGCGCCTCGCCCCTGGAAAGCACCGCACCCCCAGACGCTCCCCGGTTATTCTTAGAAATCTCCCTCGTCTGCTGCGAGACAGGGTTCAGCAGCCCGCACAGACAGGACACAACACATAGGAGGCTGTTAGCATAACATGGATGAGGCTAAAAATACCCCTCCGAAACACACATAAAAAAGCCAAATCCAACAACAGAACGAGCTAAAAATATTCTAGGCTTTGGCAAAGAGCGCGGAGTTAAATAAATTATACAAGAGCCATTCATGGGAGCAAGTTGACTTTCTCTCTTACGGGAACTTGGTTCAAGCTAATAAAAATAATAATTTACTAGCCACTGAGCTTTGCATGAGTTTAAATTTAATTGGTGGGGCTTCTGGCGTTTGTCACTTCTTGGCGATTAGTGGGCTTGCCCCGGCCCGGGGCGGGGTGGGGAGACCCGAGGGCCCCTGCAGTCGGGCCGTGCCCCCCCCGCCCCCCAGGACTAGGGCCTGGGTGCCCGGGCAGGGGGTGGAGGAGGAGGGAGGCTGCAGGGGTGGGCAAGGACAGGCAAGGCGCGGCTCTTTTAATTTGATAAATGATTGTACACCTTCAAGAGTGTGTTGTAACAATCAAGATACACTCCAGCAAGTTGATAGGATGTTCGCTGTCAACTTACATGTTTCCTCAGAGCGGGCTGTGAGCACCAGGAACGCGGCGGCCGCAGGGTGTGCCGCGGCCTCTCGGGAGCCCGCAGGCCGCACCCCTGGCCCTGGTGGGTGCTGCTCTCTCCTGGCATCCGGGGGCAGCCGACTGAGGAGGACAGGAGCGGGGCTCGGCGGGGGGGGGGGCACTTTGGCCTGGGTCTCCCCACCACAATAAGAGAGCCAGACGGCTTGCTCAGAAAAAGCCGCTGCGGGTGGGATCTGAGGCAGGACTCTCAGCGTTGGCTGGCTGCTGTCCTTCTGGGCCGCGCGTGTGTCTAAGTTCAGCCATTTCCCAGGAATGCTGACTGTCCACCCTGGGACTGGGCTCAGGGGGA